TAATATGGTGTGGTTTAAAATGTTCCTTATTTAAAAAAAACACTATGTTCAAGTTGAATGAAGTGTATATTGCAATAGAACAGCAAGAAGAATAGAGATAGGGAAGGCAGTTCAATATTCCAAACCAAATTGTTTCTGAGGGTCATCTCCATGTAAGATCCCATCACTTGAGTTTAACAGACTTCTCTTTTTCTGTTATTGCCAATACACAGGATAGACCTCTCCTTCTCTGCCCCACTCTTTCTCTCTCTTTTTCTCCCTCTTTCTCTCTCTCCACAGCTTATTCTCTGCCTCTCTCATTAATCTCTTAGCAAATCTTTTCCCAGTTGGCCCTAACTAATTCTTGTTCCCTTTTCTCCTCCAATTACTTTCACTTTTTAATTTTTCCACTTGGCTGTTTTTGTGACCAGCATTCCAACTCTACTTGATATCTTATTCCACGTATGTCCCATTGTTACTTATTCTTGTCCGTACTTCCTTTTGTATTTCTCTTATTTTGTTTTTTTACTTTTTTCCTACTACCATCACCCTAGTTCCATGTCTTCTCACATCTACTCTAGGTTATTACTATTTCATTCTGTCCATACTTTTCGCTTTCAGTTTTCCCCAGATCTTCAGCTTATGCACACATTTCCAATTAATCCTCCTAAAACATTACTCTAATCATGAGTTAATAAAATCTGGACTCTGAGATATTTGCCTTTACTTAGTTCTGTAGTGGCAGGCAACAACCTATGTCATCTATAACGGAATAAGACAATAAATGGATTGGGACAAATCACTTCCAGACAAACTATTCCAAGCAATGCTTTTGTTAGTCAACATTTCCTTCTTAGTATAAAAACAATAGCATATAATTATTAAACTGGAAGAGGTTTTAAAAAACAACTTAATGGAACCCTTGGTGTAGGCTTGATTATCAATTTAAGGTATTTTCCTACAGGGTCCTTCTCCATTTCCAGCATCACTTCTCCAGGTCCGCATCCCAACTCTCACACACTGCCTCTGATTGCTGTGATTACCAACAGGCTGAACACACCTCTAGCAGTTTTGCTCCTCTGGTGAAAACCTGAGTGACATTCTATAACAATCTTTGCTTCCGTTGGTTTTCTGGAAGGGATCTCACTGTCAATCTTTATTCCAAAAGTGTTCCAAAAGTCAACCTTTTCCTTAACATGGATTAATATATAGGGACTTTACTGTGCTGCCAGGAAACTTCAGACAGAACTAAATGGAAGAAAAAGCCTTAGGGCACAATTGGGCACCCATGTGCTGCTTTAAGAATGGTGTGTTTGTTTTAAATTGGTGCTCCATCTCTAAAGTTCAAGAGGGACCTTAAAAAAAACCAGTGTTTGAAACGATCCAATTTCCCTGCACCTTTGGTCAAGAGTTCATAGTTACTTCCTCTGTTAGAAGGAGCACTAACCCACCTTAGCAACAACAAGGAAACTTAAAACCAATAGATTCCCTTTTCTCCACCTATTTATTCATCACTAAGTTAATTTTTCTTCTAAAACTATCTTTGCCTTTGTATGCAAGAACTTTAATTCTGTATTTATTTGGCATTTACAATCTCAAATGTAAATAATGAATGCTGAATCTCCAGAACGTTCTTCCAAATACTCTGTATACTCCCGCTTAACTTACTTCAAACAATACTTCCTTGACTTCTGATCCACAATTCTCCTATGTGTGCACTTACAGAACAGTCTCCTCCCACCCCCAGCTCTAATATAGCACTTACCACATGGTATTACAGGAGTGATATGAGCTTGCTTCCTCCCTGACCACACAGTCTATGAACTCCTGAGAGACAGGGCCACGTTTTAGTCACCTTTGAATTTCAAAACACAGCATACTAATGAACAGATACTAGGTGCTCCATAAATTTATTTGCTGAATTGAATTGGACTGACAAATTGCAATTCAGGCCATGTTAATTACTGGTTAAGGCCAATCCTCCACAAACACAGGACAGCAGTGAAATGAAGTAATTATCCAGATCACTGAGGACAAAAAAATGTGCTAATTTGGGCAAAGTGAGTAAATACGATTTTGCCTAACTGAACTAATCCATCATTTCATTCCAATGCTTAGCTTTGCTAATGGAAATCTGACCTCTGTGGGGCAGTCTTAGTCTCTCCTGTGCTTTGTGCTATAACTGAGTCATCTGTTTTACATTGATGCTGAACATACCCCACACCTCTTGCACATGGGACAAAAATCACATCCTCATCCCTGTCAGTTGTCTCATGGGAGTGCCATCGGTTCCAAAGCAGGGTCAGTTGAGGGCAGTGTGCAGATAGTTCTGTGAAACCTATGACTGAACACACATTTTAAAGACCACACCCCACTACTCTAGTGAGTTACTGGTATCTTTATACACCAGTCTGTAAACTGCACAACTAATTCAACTCTTAGCACATGGTTTCTCCAAATGAAGTCTGAATAACCCTCTATACAAAAAGTAAGACGGGTCTCCCAATATGTTTATTTTATAGGACCAAGGTAAATCTTTACTGGATTTTAAGGATTATTAGAGGAAGAAAATAATGTTTTTTAAACAGACCAACAACTTTGTTACTTATAATGTGTATATTTATTGGCATCTTTCCTTTCCCAGATCATTTGTACTTGATCTAAGCAGGAAAAGCAAAGTTATTCAAACTAAACAACACATTAAAATTTACATACTTTTAATCTTTTGTCACTCTGCAGCTGTAATTAATTTCCTTATGTACATGTGTCTAGCTTCAGAAATGGGGGAAATGTTTTTATTGTGTTTCATAAGGAAGCATAATTTTTAGAAAATACTTAGCATTTGTAAATTTAAATCTTTCAATTTACAAGCAGTCATTTATTTTGTAAATAGCTGGAAAAAAACTACACTGAAAACATAACTATACTTGAAATCAACACTGTCAGACTTCTACAGCATTTTTTTTACACCCTACAAATTTAAAAGCAAGATGAATTTTTTTTAAGTTAGTGGCAGACAAAATATTTAATAAAAACTATAATAAGACAGACAGAACTATACTACTTTAGACAGAATAGACAGGTAGAAAGAACTGGATATCAGAAAAATCCTGGTTTGAATCTCAGCTTCACCAGTCATGAACTTTGTGACACTGGGCAAGTCACTAAAATTTTCTGAACCTCACCTTGCTCATTTCTAAAACAGAAATAACAGTTCTGCTCTTATCTAATTCTTGAGGTTGCTGTGAGAAGAACATAACATAAATGAAAGTAATTTTGAAACTATGGAAAGCTATACACAATGAAGACATTCTTTTTATTATTTTGGCATGTGGATATTGATGGTGATGATGGTGGTAATGGTCTGACATTTGCCACGAGATGCATTGCTAATACTCTGCTGTTCATTAATGCAATTATCATAGCAGCAAATTAATTTTGTTCAGATTCAGCCATCTGCAAGACTGAAATATTTGTTTCAACATCAAGTGAAAACAACTTATAATAGTTCAAGTAGAGAGTAATAAACAAACACATCTACTATACAACTCTGCCAAAAAGACTATAGTACATATTTCTTCAAATTGAAGAGTCCTTTTCTCATCTGGCTTCCTCCTCACTCTTGTAGAACAAACTTGTTAGCAAACATCTATCATATTTAATTAAATTGACTGTGAAAAGAGTAAACTTCACACAGAGATTTTCAGCCCTCAGCTTCCTTGATTTGCTTGTTGCAGATGCAATTTTAGCAACTCCTACTCAAGCTTCTTTAAAAAAAAAAAGAAAGAAAAGGGAGAAAGGGAGAAAGAAAGAAAGAAAGAACGAACGAACGAACGAACGGAGGAGTTGAGATAAAGAGACTAGTACATAAATTCAAACTGGTGTGGACAAAACTGGGCAGTAAATACCAGAACCTGCAGCAAAGGCAAGAAGTCCTGGACCAGGCTTGCAGTCATTTACACTTCACCATGGAGGTTAGGAGCTATTCTGGACATAACCCTCTACATCTTCGATAACACGAAAGCACCAGAGGATACCAGCCGTCTTCCTCAGACTAGATTTCCTAAATAAAGAAGCAATCTTCAACCAGCTTTCTCTCTTTGTGAATTGCTAACATCTAAGATGCAGTCCATGGCTCTTTGTAAAGAGTCTGTTGTACCACAGGAAATAATCTTTGTTTTTCTACATATCATCAGTTCTCAATTATTTTCAATAAGACTCTTCTCCAACTATTATTATGAGTTGGCCAGAAAAAGGTAGAGGCATCACTACAGTTCTCCAGGTTTTGTCAAAATGATTACTCCTTAATAAAGGTATTTATGAAGAGCCTTGACCAAGCTGGTAATCTCCCAAGTATCTTTCTTAGCTAGCAGTAGCAAGACCTCCAAATAATTTTGTTATTAAAAAAAAAAAGCACCAAAAGGAGCTCATTGTCTCCAACAACTTTAAATTGTGCACATTTTTGCATCTTAAGAAATAATTACATTAGATAATATCTATAGAGCATATGCCCCAATGCAAACTAGTATCTAAAGTAAAACTATTTTGTGGGATATTCGGTGTCATGCAAAAAAAAAAGTGTTTCATATTCAAATGAGTGTGGGAAATACTGAATTCAACTAAGTCTAAAAGATTTTTTTTTCTACTGGATTTCTCAGGGTTACAATATGCTATCGTGCATTGTGATATTCTAAGAAAGTATTTACAAAATTTATCTGACCATGAAAGTCTTTTTCAGGGAACTCTAAAAATCTGGAAGAGACGTAGTTAAGAAATGCAGTTCTGTAATACACAGAAATATGTCAAGGAGTTTATCATGACCATCAAATAGTTGTCTTTGTGTGGTTGATTCTATTTATGTCAATCTGTGCAGCCACAGAGAACCTGTTGTCTTGCCAGGTTCTGTTTACTTAAGGAGTAGATACAGTTTGCTTTGAGGGAAGAGAAAAACAGATTTAATCAGCACCAACAATTTTTTTTTCCCCCAAGTGACAGTAATCTTAAGAAATGGTTTTAGCTACCTTTTCCATGAAGTCACAAGGTCTCAATATTGTTTCATCTTATTTTCACTGGGGAGAGGGGGGACAACATGTTATGGAATTACAAACACCAGGATACAAACTACAAAATACTGATGCATCCTTATTTTTAGAAATTATAGGAAAACTCGTTTCACAATTAAAAAGAGGACATACTACAGCATATAAGAGATAAATTTTAGGGGTAATGAAACCTAGTACATCTGAACCTAGCTATAAGGAACTCACTTGAATTCAAATTTCTTATCTCTGTCTCTGACATTCATTTCCCTAGTATCCAAGACAGTTGAGCTATGACACAGTTACTACTGGAACTCAAAACAGATATTCATTCTTAAAGGCTTCTTTTATAATTGGAACAATGATGACTAGTTTTATTTTGTTTTGTTTTTTTAAAGGGCAGCAGGAAGGACCTAGATCTTATCTCTTTTTGTGAAGCTCCTCTTTTCCCCAAGCTGACGTGCAGCCTCCCAGAACACTACAGTAGCTCCGGAGCGTGCTCAGCGGCTGTGGCAGCTCAACCATGCAATTTTATAGCAGGCAGCAAACAAGGCAGAGAATTCAGGGTTAAAAACTCAAGTGAAGTTTTGTCTTCTACAGTAATGAAAGCTGACTAAAAGAGTAAATCAAATGGATCTCCTAACAAAATGAAAACAGCTGTTTGGCCTGGCTTGGTCTCTGATTTAGGTTAAGTAATTATTGCTCTAGTGTGGTTCAAGGTTGCTCTGTATTAGTGAAATAGGATATCACATGAAAATCATCCAACTTTTTAATTTACTGTAGCATCAGAAATTCCACTGTATAAAAAAATTCCAGAAACGTAATCTTCTAAAAACTTTACCTAGAAACCTTTTCAAATACCAATTGATTAAATCTTCCAAGACATAATTACACAATACATAATTACATTACAGTAATAACTTTCAGTATCTTTCCTGAGAAAATATTTTAATATTTTGAGTTTAAAAGACTAAGTTTTTCAAGTTTTACTGAAGTGATAAATTATATCCAATTCTCAAATAACTGTAAAGATCATTTTTTGTATAGAGATTTTATGAAGAGTAACAAATGAATAGCTACTTCTTGAGTCCCCAAACAAGTCTATTTTAATAGTATAACTCATCTTATTTTTCTAATTCAACCTTGGCATACTAACAGCAGTTAAGAAAAAAAAAATTATGATAAAGAATCACAGCAAAGGAATATTCTTGAGGAAGAGGCTTTTGTGTTTAACACCATTCAGAGTAAAATAAATCACTCAAGTCACTTCAAATTCCATTTCTCGTTTGCAAACTTTTGCTTTTCATTCATGTATCACAATTATCAATGTTATTCCTCTCTTATTTAAGCACTTTATTTCTGCTTCCACTTGCCTATGATAATAAAGGGAAAATCAATGGTAGATTGTTGGTAGTTTTTTTAAATTATGTTCCAGAAATTATTTTTAAATGGTTAAAAAAAATTCAAATAGTATCTACCTAACACAAGACTTTAAGCTCTTGAAGAAAACAAAGACTAAAGTCTTGGCCACTGTTAATTTTTAAGTCAATCTCCATTATATCACTGGATGGATACCTAAATGTATGAAGAAACAATAACATTAAAATATTTTTCTAATACTAACAACTATTTAAATTATAGGATAACATTTCTTCAGTAAAGTAACATCTTTAGGGCATTTTAATTCATTCAGGTACATTCAATTCAGTTCTCAACAAAAAAGACGGGAAGAGGGAGAGGGAAAAGATTGCACCAGAAAATTAATATTTTGAAGAAAATTACTTGGGTGGTGTAAAGCCCAGGGAAAAAATCTCAGATGTTCTTGTTATAATTATTATTGCTGGACACAAAACATGACATATTTACCTTTCCATTGGGATAGTTTTGTAGCTTTCCTAAGTCTAAATAGTATTTCTTGCTGGCCCTTGCCAACTATTTTAACTAGTGCTTGCCAGCACATCAGAATAATAGAAACAATGGAGTTACATGTGTTATTTCTCTAAAATGTTTCACATTATGATCCTTCTTTGGGGTCAATATTCCTTAAATAGGAGAATTTATCATGTTCGGGGTTTCCATTCAGAAAATGTGCTGTGGAACTAGATCAACATTGTACAATTTACCTAAGGATTAGAGAGGAACTCAGTGAAAAGCAATATTTTAAAAGAAGGTTTAATTTTTCCCTTTCAGACAGTTAATGTAAATTCTACTAACTGAGATTTTCAAAAATGATAGGGCACAAGAAACCAGTTGACGTTCCTAGCTGTCAACAACCCGAGGAGGGTAACATGAAGCAATGGTCCCACCACTTGGCAAAGTCAGTGTTTTCCTTTCGAGAAGCACAAAGCCCACTGTTCTTATGCATAAAACTTAATGAATAGGCAAATGTCACTCACTCAAATTTATAAAGAAAATGGGGCATAGTCAGAGGCACTTAAACAGTGCATCTTTAAGTGCTAAGTCAAGTATAAAGTCAAATTACTCAGTTCTCCTTAGACGTGTTCTCATAAGCAGTGTCAAAGCAGTTCTTCCAGATAAGATCCCTCTCCTGAAAAGAGAAGCTCCCTCCCTGAAGATCATTTACCTCACTCTCAAATGAGTCCCCGATCCTTCTCTAGCTCTCAGTTACTCCTGATATTCTTTTCTACTTCCTTTGCTTCTTTGATCATTGACATTTACTCTGAGGATGAGCAGGACACTGTTCAAGGGAAATGGAGTTTCCAAAGATTAGCATTCTGTAAGCTCCTCCTTTGCCTTCTTTCTCATTTTCCTCAGAACTCTAACACAGAGCCACTTCCCAAAACCCAGAGCCTTCCGAGGCAGCAACTCTTACTGCACAAGATTATTTAAAAATTACCCAGAAGAACATTTATACTTGAATGGTGTACAGTATTTCTTACACAGCTTACACACTTCCGGTCAGCCATTTCAAAGCATGTTTCCCACACATTTTTCTTTTTCCTCTTAAATTTTCTAATGAAGAAATTCCTCTTTTAAAAAATTCCTTGGTTCAAAGTAACCAAGTAATTCCTTAGTTTAAAATTATTTCATTATATATTATTTTCAAATTAAGTTTTAAAAATTTAGAATATAAAATGGGTATAGAATGTCAAATACTGTTTACCATATTAACTTTTATAAAGCTTTAATAGAAGACCTTACAAAGATGTTTTGGCAACTATTCTATACTAACTTACAGATTACCTCAAATCACAGGCATTTCTTCACTTGGTTTTGGCTGAGATATGAGAAGATATCTCAACTTTCATAACCTATATAGAGTGGCAACCATATCAAAAGCTAGTGCCTTTACTAGAGTAAATGCAGCCATGAATTTAATCTACTGAAATCTTCTGCAGTAAAATATTCACTCCTACTCTCAAATCATAAGATTCTTAAATTAGAAAAGACCTTAGCAACTAGTCTTTCCAAAGTCATCATTTTATATATGAAGGTACTAAAGCCCTGAAAGATGAAGCAACTCACCCAAGGTCACATGGCTGGTGGGTGAATGAACCCAGACTATCCCTTTCTTCTTCTCTGGGGAGTCATGGCAAAACAACCACATTGAAAAAATTTTTTTTCTCTCATATTATATTCAGATTAAACAAAGATGTTAAGCATTTTAGTCCTCTTCTCTTTAGCACTGATAAGCAGTATCAAATTCAGTCATAAGTGTTTGATCACTCCCATTCAACATTCCTATTCCTGTAATCACAGACCTTCCCCATAGTCTTTCCTGTATAGCTAGCTGAACTTTGTATTTGAAGAAATTAAGGTACAACAGAAAGTATTACATCTAAATGACACAAATATTATTTTTATGTGACAACATCTTTAAGCAATGCATTCTGAGTTTCTGAAATAAGTGCCAAGTCTGTAACAAAACACTAATCCATTGGGGAAAAAAAGGTGGAGCAATAGATGAAATAAGATTGGCAAAATTACAATTGCAATTATAACTTAATTATAATTGTTATAAAATTATCATTGGTAATGGATATATGTGGTTTATGATACTATTCTATTCAGTGAATATCTGAAATTTTTCATAATAAAATGTTTATTTTAAAAATCAATCCATGTACTAGCTTTGGGGAGAACTTAATTACCAAGTCCAACGTACACCAGCAGACTATTCTAACCAACAGTTAAAAAGTAAAGGAGAATGCAACCAATGTGTTCATCTTTTCTTTTGTGTTTAAAAAAAAAACACACATACACAACATGAAGTTAACCATCTTAACCATTTTTAAGTGAATTTCAATAGTGTTAAGTATATTCACATCATTGTGCAATGGATCGCTGGAACTTTTTATCTCGCAAAACTGAAACTCTGTACCCCCTGAGAACTCCCCATTTCCCCTTCCCTCAGCCCCCCAAAACCACTACTTTCTGTTTCTATGAATTAGACTACATTCAGTATCTTGAATAAATGGAATCATACAGTATTTGTCTTTCTGTGACTGGCTTATTTCACTTGGAATAACACCTTCAAGATTCATCAATGTTGTAGCATGTAACAGGATTTTCTTCCTCTTTAAGGCTGAATAATATTCCATTGTATGTATATGCTACATTTTATTTTTTGTCCATTCACCTGTCGATGGGCATTTGGGTTACTTTTACCTCAAACTCCTCATCTTAATATATTTTCTGAGGAAACTGAAGTAAAATATGCTGTGAGAAAACTCAACTAAGCAACAAGGAGAAAGAATGAATGTTTAGTTACTGGAACAAAAGCCATCCACTTGATATTCATCACTCCAGGGACTATAAGAAACTGGGCATACCTAATGGAAATTACTCAGTGGATCTATAAGAAACTAAAGTTATTTTTTATCTACTTTTGTTTTCTAACCCCCTCTTATTTTGGCACTCTTTCTTGATGGAACTATTCAGAGGTTATTGATGGATATAAATATATTTTTATTCCATTAGTCTAGTAGTACAGCTGTAAGAGATGTAGCTCAGCTGAGAAAAAGTACCATGCATGGATGAATGAAGACAGAGTACCAAATTTTTTGGAT